ATTTTCCAAGAACACCGGTACCCCCTTCTTTATAGAGCTACCATGTTGTATTTTTTGCCATGAGTGTGGGCTACAGTTAAATAAGTTGCAATTTTGATATTCAAACATGATTCATTACACCGGAGTGTTGGCTCAGTCAGTAGAGCGTCCGCCTCACAACCGGGAGGTCGTGGGTTCGAATCCCGGCCGCGTCATACCAAAAGACGTTAAAAGATGGGAGTTGTTGCTACCTTGTTTGGCGTTCAACAATAAGGGATAGAGCAACGTCGATCTGGCGCTGCTCAGTGGCTGCCGGGCTCACGATCAATTGGGCAAAAAGAATTTCCGTTTCGGTTTAATAAAATTTTGAGTGAACTATTAGGCTATTATTATTATTATTATTATTATTATTATGATTTATCAATTTTTAATGATTGTACATGTAATTGTGAAATGAACTGTACAAAAACGATTCCAGTTACTGTATATTGCAAAGAAATAAATGCAGTCATAATCAAGATGAAAGTATTAATCTTAAGATTTGATTGCTTTGTGCTATTCAACGTTTATTCTTATTTAGTTAGATTTGTTTATAGGAGAAATGTGTCTGAGAGAGTAATGTACTAAAATGATAATGACTTATGTGACAACAAAGAGGGGTAATAAACGATAAAGATAAAGAGAGAGAAAGAAAGAGAAGGAGGGGGATGTTCTTGTTTGCATGAGAGAGCTAGAGAGGAGAGAGAGAGCAAGAAAGAATTGAGAAGAAGTTGTACATAGTGCTTGGTGCGCCCCCCCCCCAAAAAAAAAGTATACAAATATGCTATTGATCATTGACAAAAATATTCAATTAAACTTAATCACACATGAAGCAGGACAGTATATACAATTTCCATAACAGGCATTCAGAGTCACTAACAAATTATTGCATTTCCTGCATTATGTGAAGGATTCAAGATGAATTTCTGGATGGGGCAGAGTGATGCGAGTTTAACATTGAATATAGTGCTGTGATTTCGAGGAAACAGAATTAGCTAGGTATGACAAATATAGTTTTATGGGTGGGGAGGGGGGGGGGGGAGGGGGGTGGGTAGCAAATGGGCATTGCTTTGCACAGCGCGCACGTCAACTGGGACGGTTCGTAAAAACGAAATTTCACATAACCAACAGGGGAAACGGGGCCGCGTAAGCTGCGGGGCCACTACGTGAAGACGAGCCTAAGCGTGGATGTCAAGTTTTTCGTTTTCACGAACCGTCCTCTGACTGTCCTCTGTGATTGAGGTCTAATTATTGTTTAAATAAACATTATTTCCACGTAAAACTTATATCATTTCATTCTGTAGATAGTGTACTATCAAGATATCCAAAAAAATGAATACCATCACATACTTTTTCCCCGTAAAAAACAGCGATTGTAAAAAAGTGAAACTTTAAACGCGTTTATCTCAAAATTTGTTTCTGTACGCTAAAACGCTCTTGGGACACTTCGTGAAAACGGTGACGAATAAATCCTGAACAAATTCTCAAACCACAAAGATATTTATGGTTTTCTTTAAAAGGCGTCCCTAGTCAACACCTTCTAACAGTAAATTCTCTCCACCATTTTTGAATTTGAATTTGCTTTGCCATATATATATATATATATATATGTATTCTTCTCCAAATTTATGTATAAGTTTCTTGGTATTCAAACAGAAGAACAGATGGCTGTTACTTTTCAAATGCCAATATACTACAGTTAACTAAGGTGAAACCTACTTCAGGGATCACCTGGGCCGTTGCATAAAACTGACTATTGATGGTAACTTTGCCATCAATGGCAACTACCATGGTAACAGGGCTCAACAGCCAATCAAAATCAAGGTCCCCACGGTAGTTAACATTGATGGCAAAGTTACCATCAATTGTAAGTTTTGTAAAACGGGGGGGCCCTGTATATAAAGATGTCATTTGTTTCCTTGTACAGTGTTTCCTGTTGAAACCTATACTAGATACTACCTGCAGACAAAGACCCCATTTCTTGTCTCCTTTGAGTAGTGTTTATGTACAGGATTGACTGAATATGGGTCATTTTCAACCCTTAAAATGACATTATCCATTTCAGAGCCATCAGAGCATGCGCGTGCCAAAACAGCCCAACCTCGAGTCGTCCTGACCAAGCTCTTACCCTCGTCCATGGAAGATGAGCTCATTCCAATGAAGCTGGACGGCAGAGGGAAGAAACGGGGAAGGGGATCGGTCAATTACTGTGAGATTTCCCCCAGCAACAGCCCGCGCCCCCGTCCCTCAACAGCCAATCAACCAGACAATGAATGGGCCCCTCCAGCCGCCGCTCCCGTTGCTGTTGCATCAAGCAGCAGGTCACCGTCCCATTCCAGAGCCAAGGCACCTTCACCTGTTCCAGAAGCAGCTCCCACAGAATTCGCTCCCATCTTTATTGAGAGGAACGAGGCAGAGGAGGCGGCAGCTGCAGCAGAGACAGAAGAAGAGCGTAAGCACATTGTCAACTTTTTTAATGCTTGAAAACGGCGTCATCTGACACATACTTCACCGATGATTGCTCTTATTTCATCAAAGGTATAAAGGAAGGGTTAGGAATGGATGTTATTTTAGGTTTAGGGTTAGGTATGGTACAAGGTCCAGGGTTGATGATTCGGTGAATGTTCGAAATCGACCACGGAGCAATCGTTGCTGGAGCATGTATCATAGAACTGAAAATGGATCCCTTGCTGTGTGTATGCAACTGTTGTACACTGTAGTACAAGGCCCCGTAACACAAGCAATTCATTGTACAATTGATCTTTTGCGATTGATTGCACATGGTGATCGATCCTCTCTGTGGTCTTAATTTTTATGCCTCCGCTACAAAGTAGCTGGAGGCATTATGTTTTCGGGTTGTCCGTCCGTACGTCCTATTCTCGTGATCGCGTTATCTCAAAACCCATTGAAGAATTCCCGCCAAACTTGGGTCATGTATGTATCTTGCAGGGCCAATGAACTGATTAGATTTTTGGGGTCATTAGATCCAAGGTCAAAGGCCACATGGCCCATTATGTATGCAAAAATAGCTTGTGATCACGTTATCTCAAAAACCCATTGATGGATTCCCGCCAAACTTGGGTTATGTATGTATCTTGCAGGGCCAATGAACTGATTAGATTTTGGGGTCATGAGATCCAAGGTCAAAGGTCACATGGCTCATTATGTATGCAAAAATAGCTCGTGATCACGTTATCTCAAGAACCAATTGATGGATTCCCGCCAGACTTGGGTCATGTATGTATCTTGAAGAGGCAGTGAACTGATTAGATTTTGGGGTCACAAGGTCAAAGGTCAAAGGGCACAGTGCCTATTTTGTATGCAATAATATAGTTTGTGATCGCATTGTCATTAAAACCGATAGACAGATTACTATAAACTCGAGACATGTACAATGTATGTATCTTGCAGAGCCAACAAACTGATTAGATTTTAGGGTCATGAAGTCTAAGGTCAAAGATCAAAGGGTCAAACAGGTTTATGAGAAATAGCTTGTAATCACGATATTCTGAGAACCTGTTAATGGATTAGAATCAACTTGAATTTGAAAAATTGATCTGTTTTAGTTTATAAAATGGCTCTATGGCGGAGGCATCACTTTCTAGTTTTTGTTTAACTGAATTAGTTACCTGCCATTCCACATACCTAGTCACACCTGAAAGACATGATAACAAATGAATCATAGACTTAAGAATTGCACACTTTTGATAATTATTCTGGCATTTACAACTGCTACAAGTGACTACCTGCAATCCTATCCCTATTATGTGACCCAGCACCACAAAACCACCAAAAAAAAGTAATCAGAAATTGTTATCTAGTTGAGCAATGATTCTAAAAAAGGGATTCTCAGCTTTAAAATGATGTATAACTCATCACATTTGGATTTCCCTAACCCAATTTTAAAAGAGAGAAGAATGCCCAGTCAAAAAGAATGTTACTTGTGGTTGATGTTTAGAGCCAAATATTCTATGAATATTTCTAATATATGTGTTGTTCTTTGATCATCAGGACCTGCAAAAAGGGTAAAGAAGGAAGAAAAGCCTAAAAAGAAAAAAGGCCAGACGGATGCAGAGTATGAGGGTAAGCTTTCTTGTTATTAAGAGCCATATAAGATTTATTTTCGTTTAAAGCTATGTTTAATAATATGTTCTATTTGTTGTATGTCCACTTGGAACTACATTAACATGAGATATGATATGTAAATACCACGCCGAGCTAGGCGGAAGGATACATAAATAAATGGTCTTACAATTTGGCTACTATGCAGTAACTACATCGTCTGCCAGACTCTATCATTTCACCGAGTCATATATTATTACAACATGGTGGCAGCGGAAAGGTGAATACCATGCTAATAATAGATAATCGGACATTAGCTACCGCAGTTTTCCTCGACTCGAACTGAACTAAATGAGAACTAGCTGCTATGTAAAAGTTTGGTCGTCGACAATTATTGCCAACATCGATGTTCCCGCACTGCACCCCACTGCGCAACCTATCGTCTGCATTACCCGGGTACGAGCCACCGAGCCTCCGCTAATGCCGAATATCACTGGGAACTGTCTTCCTCGCATAATGTGCATGTAGCACTGATCGCTACACACAACAGACCGAGAGAGGAGGTGTAACGGCAGTGATTGGAACAGCTTCCATCGGTTTTCTTATCCGTGATCAACGCGGACGAGGACGTTGTGTAGCACTGATCGCTACACACAACAGACCGAGAGAGAATATGTAACGACAGTGATTGGAACAGCGCCCATCGGTTTTCTTATCCGTGATCAACGCGGACGAGGAGGCGACCTGCTTTCATCAAACTCAAAGTCAAAATAATCTCAGCAGCAGCTAGCAATTACAACTACCTTAGATCGACGTCGGCCTGATCCATTATCGGTTCCAGCTCTTACATCGACGTCGGCGTGAATCTACAAGTACAAGCATCGCCTTGGACTTTGTAATCGTCTAGACTCTAAGTTAGGCCTGGACCTATCTATATTTTGGACCAGATCACCGATCCAACGCTTCATCATCGCATAGACAACAGGACTGATCGAGGCCTGATCCATTATCGGTTCCAGCTCCCATCGCCGTGCATGCGACATCGCACAAGCAAATGAAGTTGTGGTTGTGTCTTTGTGAAGTGATTCGACATTTGTGACAAGACAATTCAAGAAAGACAAGGCTCTAAATCTGACTTTGTTATTATCTAGATTATTACTAGAGGTCTAGATAGTCTACATCTGGAACATCCTGAACAAAATAACAAATGACAATAGACCTAAGAACAGATTACAGGGAGGTATCCTGTGATAAGTTTGCTGTCTGATAATTCAATTAATCATGATGTGATTGTGAATGTTGTGCCTTTGTTGAGTGACTAGACCCTAGACTTCTAGACCCTAGATCTATATCTTATAACTTAGATCTAGAAGTCTAGAAATCTAGTCTAGATTAAACTTTGTTATAAATACTATGTTAGACTCTACAAGTAGACCTAGACCTAGTCCTAGTCTAAAAATCCTTGACCTTGTAAAGTCTAAGATAAGGAGTCTAATTTCTAGTAGACTCAAGGATATCATCTGGCCCAAGCCAGGCACTACTGAATACATGTGTGACTCAGACTTAGACCGGTGCTCTAGACTATAATGGTCCAGATTTATATAGACTAAGGGTTTAATCTAAACCTGGTCTAACACTAGCAGTTGGGTTTGGATTTCAGTTCAGCACCTGTTCCGCGAGGAGATCTCTACTGTGTAAGACTAAGAGTCTAAATCTGGGACTGAGTACCAGTTAGGGATCCAGATTCCAGGTCTGACTTTAGCTTTAGTCCTGGATCATCATTCTCAATTGTAACTAGACTAGAAGTCTAGATCTAAATCGAAGTCTGCTGGTGCTGATATCAGTGTTTTAAACTCTGTTCTTGTAGTTTTGTGGTAGACTAAGTACACATCTACAGTAGACGTAGATTACAGAGGTAGACGTCTATATAGTGCAGAGTGTAGGCCACTATATTTTAGCCTAGCTATACGAAAATCCCAAAATACCTAAACGGGACCTAGTCTGGACCAAATGAAAGATCAGTTGATGAGTTGGGTTTCAGGTTCAGAAAAGTTAATAAATAGTCCAAGTATTCAGGTGTATTGTGACAATTTGTGTACTTATTGTTAGACGATAAAGTGTGTATGCTCGTAATTGATTTTGCCTGCTAATTTGATGTGAGCAGCATTCAAGTACTTCCGACCAATAGGTGAATTACTGCTAATACCTGGGCATATTTCTATTTATGCAAATAACTTTCGGCCCGTTGACAATTATTGATGCGTGTTTTGTGTGAGGACTTATTTTGATCACGTACTGTAAGACGGACTGGTTTTGTTAGACTTATCGAGTTGCAACGCATTAAATATGGCGCGTCTCCCTGAAATGAATTGGCAGATGCCCGACTTGGCAAGTGGATTCTCTCTCTTTAAGCAGCGCATGGAACTATGCTTGAAAGATTTAGATATTACGGATGAAGTGAAGATAGCAACAAAGATAAAGATTGCTTTAGGTGTAGAAGGTTTGCGACGCCTCAATGCTTCAGGTCTTAGTACTGCAGATCAGGATAAACCAGAAAAAGTATGGGATTTTTTCGAGAAGCAGTTGAAAGTCAGTATTAACTTTCGTATCCACCGTCTTGAACTTATGAGGTATAGGCAGAAACCCGAAGAATCCATTGACGATTTTGTGACCCGCTGTAGGGACAAAAGCCGCCAATGCACTTTCACAGATGCAGAACTCAACGAACGAATAATTGAACTGGTAATTGCATCTACGCATTTTGATGGTCTGCAGCGAGATTTGTTGCAGAAACCAGCAGGCCACCCCCTTACGGATGTGGTCACACTAGGAAGGCAATATGAGGCCATTGCTGCTGGCAAGCAGTGTCTGGCAGACCTGACCCCAGTGTCAAACATTGACGCGTTTAGTAGGAAACCACAGAGACCTAGCAAAGATGGCAGACCCAGAATGAGTGAGCGCAAACAATGCGGTAATTGTGGACTGCATCATCCTCCCAGAAAATGCCCAGCATATCATGATAACTGCAAGTACTGTGGGAAGAAGGGGCATTGGGCCAAATTCTGCAGGTCCAAGTCAGATAGAAGACGTGGACCGAGCCATGAGAAGGTTGACACTTCGCCTCTAGAAGTGAATGAACAGATACCCTCTACCCATGAGGAGGATTGTGTCCCTCATCATTTCAGCACGATAGTGATTTCAAGCATGGACACCAAGGACGAAGAAGAGGACAGGGAAGCTTTCGCAGTATTAGATATCGCTTGTCCGTACAAGGCCGGACAGCATCACCTGACGGTGAAGATAGATACTGGAGCAGGGGGCAACACACTCCCTCTTCGTATTGTAAACAAAATGTACCCCGATGGCCAGTGGCGCTCTATTGTAAGGCCACGGCGCGTCCGGCTCATGGCCTATGGTGAAACGGTTATCCCTTGTATCGGTTCTCTTGATCTCAGGTGTCAATATGACGATTCAGGTTGGAGTAAACGGGAGTTTTTCGTGGTCGATGTACCAGGACCTTCAATATTAGGCCTTTCAAGCTGCAAGGCCCTTAAGCTGGTCACTCTCCACACTGTGAAACAATGTGTTGAAGCACTAGTAAATGTTCCAGGTCAAGCACCATGCATACGGACAGTAGACGACCTTATTTCACAGTGGCCGGGCCAATTCGACCGCATAGGTAACTTCAAGGACCCAGCTACCCTTCTGTTGAAAGAAGATGCAAATCCGCACATAGATGCCCCACGGAAGTGCAGCATTCATATCAAGGATAAGTTAAAAGCCGAGCTTGACAAGATGGAAAAACAGTGTGTAATTCGTAAGGTAACGCATCACACTGATTGGTGCAGCTCTATCACTACATCAGTAAAGAAGGATGGATCAATCCGGGTGTGCTTGGACCCCAAGCGCCTGAATGAAAGTCTCAAGCGGTGCCCTCACAAAATCCAAACACTCGAAGAGATCAACCCATCATTTGCGAATGGGAAGTTCTTCACTAAGTTAGATGCGAAATCTGGCTATTGGTCAGTGCATCTGAGTGAAGATTCACAAGAGCTGACTACATTCCGTACTCCGTTCGGGAGGTATTGTTTTCTTCGTCTTCCGTTTGGGCTTTCAACAAGCCAAGATCTATTCCAACAGCGAATGGATGACATAATAGGGCAGACCCAAGGATGTGTTTGCATAGCAGACGATATAGTCGTCATGGGCAGGACGGAAGAAGAGCACGACCTAAACCTCACAAAGCTGCTTGAGGTGGCCTCAAAGGAGGGACTCGTATTCAACAGCAGCAAATGTGTAGTGAAAGCGAGCTCGATCAACTTCTTCGGGACGATTTACTCAGATCAAGGAATCAGTCCCGATCCCTGCAAGGTGGAAGATATCCACACAATGCCTACCCCACAGGATAAAGAGGACCTTCAGAGGTTTCTAGGCATGATGAACTTCCTGTCACCCTACATCCCGAACTATGCAGACCAAGTCGCTATTTTGCGTGATCTCATGAAGAAAGATGTCCCATTCATGTGGCAAGAGGATCACCAGGAGGCATACTGCCAGCTGAAGAAGGCTATTCAGCAAGACAGCTTGCTGAAGTACTACGATCCAGGGCTACCTGTCACCCTTGAAGTAGACGCTTCATCCAAAGGATTGGGAGCATGTCTCTCACAGCGTGGAAGGCCTGTGGCATACGCCTCGAAAAATCTCTCTCCCTGCCAAGCCCAGTACTCAAATATTGAGAGGGAAACACTGGCACTTGTCTTTGGGATTACCCGATTTCACACTTACCTCTTTGGGAGAGACTTCAAGATACTGACTGACCACAAACCACTTGTGACGATATGCAGCAAGCCACTCACAAGTGCCCCGCCCAGGCTACAAAGGCTCTTAGTGAAGATTCAAGGATACAACTTCACAATTGAACACAGACCAGGAACAGAGATGATTATTCCTGACACGCTCAGTAGACTGCCAAATCCGACGAAGGCAGAAGACATTACGCTGGATGTCCACGTAGAAAGCATACTACTGGACGAGGTTGAGGACCCATTGGGTATCGATCTGCTCCATTTCGGGAGCCTCAAGCAAGAAGCACTTCAGAAGGAGACTACCAGGGATCCTATTCTACAGCAAGTGAAAGAATTCACTCATGCTGGTTGGCCTGCAACTATTCAGGAACTTCCAAACGATTTGCGCCCATTCTGGCCATTTCGTGATGAACTAGGCATGTCTGGAGGTGTCCTCTTCAAAGGCAGGCAGGTGATCATTCCCCAATCTATGAGACAAGATATCCTTGAGCAACTGCACAAAGGCCATCCGGGCATCGAGAAGATGAGACTCCTAGCGCGCCAGTCGGTTTACTGGCCAAACATAAATCGCCAGATTGACGAAAGTGTCAGATTGTGCAACCAATGCCAGGAAAGGATGCCTGAGCAGAGAAGGGAACCACTCCTTCCTCATGAAATCCCTATCACACCTTGGACCAAAGTAGGCATGGACCTGTTTGAGTTGAATATGGTTCAGTATCTTCTTATAGTCGATTATCACTCGAAATTCCCAGTCGTACAGCGGTTGACTTCCACAACGAGTGCAAGTGTGGCGAATGCTGTAACTGGCATATTTGGCCTTCTGGGATCTCCTACAGAGATTATGTCAGACAATGGCCCACAATTCATCGGTGCAGCTTTTCAGCAAATGTGCAAGGAATGGGGAATTACGCATCAGACCTCCTCACCAAGGTATCCCCAGTCAAACGGACAAATAGAGCGTACGGTCCGAACAGTGAAAGAGATCATACGGAAAACACAGACAACTGGAGAAAGTACAGCAGCAGCTCTACTAAACCTACGATGTACTCCAGTGGATGCCCATCTTCCATCCCCAGCCGAAATGATGTTCGGCCGCAAAGTCCGAACACTACTTCCTGCTAACCTTGATTCGAATACAACATATCAAGGACAAAAGAACCAGGAACGTTTGGAGCAGCGCAGGGGACGCATGAAGACAGACTACGATGCGGTT